TTTGATCCATGTGAAGAATTAGGTCCATATGAAGAATTGGATCTGGGGTTCCTGTTCTTCACAGGTGGTGTCATGAGGACATTCACCTGAAGACTTTCAAGATAACTTTTGGGAACCTAGATTTTCTTCATAGGGGACCCGTTCCTGCAGTTAGTCCCAATATATCTAGCAAATACTTCACCATTCTGATTTTTGAACAATTTATAGTTGGAGTCAAATGAGTCATCAGAAGAATGAGGAGATTCACATGTAAAGCTAGATAAGTTGGATGGATCAACTGGAGGTCCTTTTGCAGCAACCCATGAGGTTTTGGGGTACTGCTCAGGCTTCCAATATTTTCCATCAGCATTGAGTTTCCTCTCAAAGGCAATACCCTCTTTCCTAGGGTTTCTGTTGAGGATCTGCTTTTTGAGCACATCACAAAGAATCTGAAGCCCTTTGAGACTTTTGTACATGCCTGTTGTATACAATTCCTTCAGCCCTGCATCATTAGTAGTACTAGCAATGTCCTCAGATGAGGAATTAGTGATAGTAGAGACAGGTGAAGAATTTGTAACATTTGAAGCATTTGAACATTCAGGTGAAGAATTAGAAGATTCATGTTCAATGCACTTTAGACATGGGGGAACAAATTCTTCCTGAGTAGCGCTGATATGTTGAGCAAGTAATGAATCGCGCTTCTTCAGAAGATCTTCATAACACACTCTTAGCTTCTCAAGATCTTGCTTTCTTTGAAAAAATTCAAGAGAAAGCTTCTCGTGATCAGATAAGAGAGCATTATGATGACCTTGGAGGTCGTCAAACTTGTAATGGAGTCCCTGAAGACTTTCAGCCAAGACTTTTGACTGATCCATTTCTTCACCCAACATATCATTGCTCTTATTTAGCATGTATTGAAATTTTTCCAAAGCTCTTTGTTGTTTAGTGGCAAGGGAAGCAAGTTTAACATAGCTAGGTCCAAATTCATCGCCAAATTCATCATCACTAGACTCGGATAGGTAGCATTCGGTTACCTTAGCACTGTTTGCCATAAGGCAGGGGGTGGACGATGATGATTCTGGTTCGAATGTCATCTCTTTGAGAGATTCCTTGTAATCCTCAAACCAAGGATCATGACGAGTTCGATGTCCATCATAGACCTCAGAGAGACGGTCCCAGATTAGCTTCGCGTGATTGAGATGCATGACGTTCCTGAACTGATTTCGGGACAGACTTGAGCAGATGACATCCTTCGCCGTGAGGTTAAGTAGAGTGTACTTGCGAATGTCATCAGCCTCGGCCATCTTGCATAGATCGGTAAGACCGATCTCGGTGACGGTCCACAGTTCGCTGTCCATAGCCATGAGTCGCTTCTTCATCATGGCCTTCCACTGAGGATACTCATGACCGTCAAAGATGGGGCAGGAAACGTTCCTCGATCCTACAGTCGACATAACTAGAACTCCAGGTGGTTAAACCAAAATCACACAGAACAAGGGAGTACCTTGCTCTGATACCAATTGAAAGTGCGTTATATCGACTAGAGGGGGGGTGAATAGGCGATTTTTATGAATTCTTCACTGAGGAATTTGCTGGTGAGGAAATTCCTAAATGAAGAACTACTTGCAGCGGAATAAGTACTCAGAAAGGAACACAAAGGAACACAGACATAGTCATCATGATGAAATGAAGACAAGCACAGAGTACAAAAAGCGTAAACACAGGATAACACGAGGAAGAAGACGAACAGACTAAAGAAATAGAACTGAGGAAATTAAGAAAGTCTTCAGTCAAAGTCTTCAAACAGATATGAACAGGCATACAACAACATACATGAGGAATTTAAAGAGTTGAGGAAATAGAACCAGTAAGCTCGGTGAAGACAATGATTTGGTAGACCAGTTCCAACTACTGTCTCAGTTGTACATCTGGTTGGAGCGGTTGAGTATTTAAACTCGAGGACACCCAGTCCCGGACACATAGTCCTCACCGTATTCTCCTTGAGCTAAAGTCACACAGACCTCGCCCAATCACTCATGGTAAGTCTTCAGGTGACTTCCGAACCTTCACAAACTCGGTCACTCGGCGATCCACAATTCCTCTTGGATGCTCTAGACCTTGACACCTAACCGTCTGGAAGAAGCACATTCTTCAAAGGAAATAAGCATCGGATCCACGCAGGATCAATCTCTTCAGTGATGCTCAATCACTTGGGGTTTTGTAGGTTTGGGTTTGGGATTTCCTCACTTGATGATTTTCACTCAAAGTCCTCGGAGGATGGGTTGCTCTCAAATGACAAGTGTCAGTTTTTCTTGGAGCAGTCAACCAACTAGTGGTTGTAGGGGGGCGGCTATTTATAGCCTAGGGAGCAGCCCGACATGATAAGACATAAATGCCCTTGTCTGATATGACCGTTAGGTAGGTAGATATTTTGGGACAGCTGGCGTGTAGCACAGCAACGGTCGGAATATTTGAGGTTCGAATTCCTCAGGGCTATCATGTTCCTCACTTGGTAGGCAATCCGCACTGGCGAATTCCTAACTCTTCAGTTAGAACAAATTCCTCAGAGACCAGAAGAACTTCGTCTCTATCATTGAAGAATATGGCTGAACTGTGCGAGATTTCCAATGGCTTCACGCGAAGGGATTGGTAGGTGTAGGATTTGAGTTAAGCATCACATGGAAATTTCTCCTTAGTATTTCCTCGACCCCCTTTAACAGTACGGTGTTTCCTATGACTCAAGAAAGAGAAAATGAAACTATGAAAACAAAAGTCTTCGCGCTTCATGTTCCTCGAGTGATTACTAAGTCTTCAAGGTCACACCAATTTCTTCACTTTCAAAGTCTTTAGAAAGTCTTCAGAAATCCAAAGTGTTCAGTCGAAGAACTTCATTTTTAGGGGTCGACTTTCTCTGTAAATATCAAACTCCTCATAGACTTATAGACCTGTGTACACTCACAAACGGATCAGTCTCTTAACCTATAAGTCTTCAATACACCAAAATCACTAAGGGGCACTAGATGCACTTACAGTAGCTCATGGAACGATGACATTTTTGAGCAGGTGCAATTTTGACGGTAAAACTGAGTAGTGAGACATAATTAGTGACACAAATGATAAAACCAAATATTTACTTCATCTGTTCCAAAATAAATAGGGATAATTAGATTTATGCCCTAGTTGTGTCCCACTCATCTGTTTTACCCCTAATTCCCAAAAGTCACCGGTTATGTCCAAGTCATTTTGCTCCTCTTATGCTTTTGCCCTTTGACCGTTTGACCGTCAGTTTGAAAACTTCATAACTAATTTATACTAAATCAGAAAAATGCAAATAATATACCAAAATATTCATAAAAACATCACCTATATGTCAGTGTCATTTGCATTCATAAAAAAAGTGTTGGAAAGTGCACATTCGAGTTTTAGCTCTTTTGGTACCACCATGAATAGTAAACTCTAAAAAAATAAAAAATATATGGTGGCAAAGAACGACAAATATTCTAAGTGATTGCCAAGTTTCATCAGGGAACGACATTGGTGGAAGTCGTGGCAAAAAAATAATCTATTTTGGAGTGCTGATTGTTTTTGTTTGCCACGACACCCACAAATGTTATTCCCTAATGAAACTTGGCAGACACTTAAAACATTTGCCATTCTTTGCCACCAACTTTTTTTGAATTTTTTGAACTTTTTTAGATTTTACTATTCATGGTGGTAGCATAAGAGCTAAAACTCGGACGGGCATTTTCCAACAGTTTTGTCATGAATGCAAATGATACTGACATGTCGGTGATGTTTTTCCAAACATTTTGGTATCTTATTTCCATTTTTCTGATTTAGTATGAATTAGTTATGAAGTTTTTAAACTGACGGTTAAACGGTCAAAAGGCAAAAGCATAACAAGAACAAAGTGACTTGGACAGAATCTAGGGGCATAAATCTAATTATCCCAAATAAATATCTCGTCTAAGACACTTTGTCTCCGAGGGAGTATTATTATTCAAGAAAGAACCTCCTCCTCCTTCTCTAAGAAAGAAAGTTAGGGTTCGTGCGTCTCGCCGGCGCCGGCGCAGGTCCACCTCGTCTCCGGTGGTCCTAGGGCCATGGAGGCGCGGTGGATCCTGGCAAGGGCCGGCGGGAGGGCTCCGTTTTTAGTCTCTTTTTTTTCAATCTTGTTAGGGTTCGTGTCCTACTGAGGAAGGAAAGACGGCGGCGGCTCCCTGAAGATGGAATAAAAGTCTCCCCCCTAGCCCCCGTTCCGGCGGTGCGTCTATCATCGTTGGTGGGCGTGTGGAGGTGTGTCTCCGGCAGATCTATCTTTGGTGGATTTGCTCGGATCTCGTCGTTGTTCGTCTACGTTCGTATGTCTTCGGTTTGGATCCTTCCGATCTACGCTACTTTTTATCGGCGGCGGTTGTTGTTCTGTGGTGCTGGTCCTATGGGGTCTTAGCACGACGACTTCCCGACTGTCTACTACAACAAGTTGTGCCCGGCTCCGGCGATGGATGGGCGATGACGGCGGCGCGCCTTCGGCTCGCTTCGGTGCTTGTAGTCGTCGCTAGGTGGTCTACGAATCTGGATGTAATTTTTATTTCTGGTATTCGTTGTACTGCCATGATTGAAGATGAATAGATTGGAAGTTTTTTCCGAAAAAAAAGAGTATTATTATTCCCACGTGGGATACAATCACTTTACAAACTGCGTGACAATATGGTGGCCCAGAGGGTGAGCAGGTTCGCCGCACCCTGCCCTGCGAATTTCCATACTTGTTTTTTTAAGGCGAATTTCCGTACTTGTTGATGTTGGAGATGCCGTAACGTTAGCCGCACAATCGTTTTCTTTGAGTAGCCGCCGCGACCCCCACGTGGGCGCTGCACAAATAGCGACCACTGTCCGTCACTACTACTATAAATACTGAAAGCGCGCACGTCAGTTCTCTCCCGTCTAGTGTCCCGGGCTTCCCTGCCGCTGCCTAATTTCCTCCTCTTCCACCCCAGGCTCCGCAAGTCCGAACGATCCCGATGGAGTCGATGCTGGCAGCGCTTGCCGCGAGCAGTGGAGGAACGGTCGCTGCCGCAGCCGTTGGCGGGCTGGCCGCTGCCGCCGCGCTCGCTGTGCAGGCCGGCGTCGGCGGGATGGGCCCCAAGGACCGCACCAACGCGCCCCCAGGTGACGACCGTCTTACTGAATCTCGTCAAAATGCGCGGAAACCTGCGGGCGCGCTCTATTGTTGTACCATTGCTTTGCTTCTTTTTAAGTCGTGGTTTCAGTTTATCCCTCTCAGCAGTGCTATCAATGGCATCCCCAACACTGCACTATGCAATAATTGCACCATTTTTTTAGTCGGTAATTTCACCAGTTTTTACAAGTAATACTTTCAATATAAAGAAGTGCGATGGTTTGATATTTCAAAAGCCATGCATGTTGACTTACTAGTGATAGGGATTATTCCAGTCCAACATTTTTCTTCTTTTGATACTTTGAGCTTTAGAAAAGTTCAGGAACCAATTTATATGGATAGATCATCAAAAGATTGTTGTCTTTGTCTTACTTACTGAAAGTAATCCCTCCATTTTGTTAGTCCACGTATTAGATTTTTCTTAAGTCAAAATTTGTCAACTTTGACCAAATTTATATTTAAAAATAGTAAATATAAAAAATATTCTACAATGAATGTAATGACATTGATTTGGTATTGTAATATTGTTACTTTTTTATATAAACTTGGGGAAACTTAAAAGGTTTGACTGAAGACAAACCTAATACGTGAAGTAAAAAAGACAGAGGGAGTACATAAGAAAAATAAATAAATGTATTACTTGGTTGATTCATTTGGACGAGTCTCGGTTTCATTCCAAGTATGCAAATGAATCATCAATTCAACTTAGTTCAAATATTAGTTTTGCCCATCATAAAGAATACTACTAACACGGTGACACGTGCCTTTGTGTGGCTAGATTTGATGTTCTTCTAGATTTTGACACGACTTTGGACTAAATCATATGAATATACTTGTTTAGAAAATAAATGATATGGTCACTAAAATTTGAAACTACCAGATTTATATTCTCTTTACCTAAGAAATTAAAAATAATATGGAATGTATGTCCACCAGCCACATCAGTAACCATATCATAGTAGCATTACTCAACAAATGTAATATTATAATTACAAATATAATACTCAACTATGCCTTGAGCCAAAATCATTAGTTTAAAAATAATATTCATGCCATATTATTATAATTTTATCCATTCGACTGACTTTTTTTTCACTTTCTGTCCGCTTCTAAGTTGATAGGTAGTTTGATATAAAAGGATGAACACATCATACACTTTTTTTTTAGTTTTCCTTCAAGAATCTTTTTAGTTTTCTTTATGGCATTCTAGTTGTTTGTGTTAGGATATTAGTGATGTGTCACACACCTAGATGTTTTTCGCACAAGCTTACTTAACTTACTCTAATTTTTTCATTCGGATATCTACCTAATGGAATGTATTTGCTAGTGCATACTAATAAAAAAATGCTAAAGTATTTTATCTCACTCGCTTGTATGGTAGTTTGTCCTTTTCTTTTTCGTGTTGTCCATGCCATATGCGGTCAACGATTGGAATTCAAAACTCTAGTTGTATTTTATTTTTGTAATTCCATGTTTCAGTATTAGGTTAAATATAAACAAATATAACTAAAACCCTTCTGAACTTTTCTGTTTATGCACACTCCATGGGTTTCATATGGAAATCAATATGCAAATTCATATTATTTTCTTACTCTGAACTTCATACGATAAGTGCGATATTTAACCTTATAATTAGAGTACTGATATAATGTACTCATGAATAAATTGATTTGGTAATTTATTTTTAATATTTTATTTTTATTTTAGGCCAACTTTGATATACTAAATAAATTTGTATTATTATGTAGCAAATAATTCTCCAATTTATAATTTGTTTTAATTTCTTAATTTCATAAAAAATAGAGTTGTATTCTTTAGCCACCTAATATCACCTCCATAACATCCTCGAATTTTGTTCATGTATGTCATTTTCTCTTATTCTCAATTTTGAATTTCATATAAGAATATTAATCAATTGTTAATTACTTTTATAACTTAATTTTTATTACATAAGTAGAAGTGCTTAATTGTTTAGACACATCACACACACACACACACACACACACACACACACACACACACACACACACACATTAATTCACTGATTTTCATAACAAATAAATAATTCCCCCATTTTTATATCTCAAAATATTATTTTGGCCAACAAATAAGAGTAATATTATTATTGTTTTGCACGCTTAACCTAAACAATCAGGCATGCATTACAATTGTTTTTCAAACTTAACCAGAGCAACCTGACATGTATTCACACCCTGGTGGAACATGCCTGGTTCTCACCTGTCTTATTTTTTGGTCTATGGTATCCATTCAAACTATATGCATGTGTTGTGTGCTTGTGTGTCTTTAATATGTTTGTGCAATCATGTTGTCGTATGACACATTTGAAAATGAAAGAGCAAAACCGTAAAACTCGGTAAGGAATTGCTACATACCCTGTGTTCAGCTATTGGATCATGAATCCTTCATGTCATGTAGCTAAAAAGACTATACGGCTCGTGGGTCAATGAAGATGGTTTTCTTGAAAACATATAAGTACACCATTCTTTCCACCCACATATAGGTCTTTTGATGGTATTTTAACAGTTAATTTTTGTGTAAGCATGCTACCTTACATAAGAATAATTTTACGTTACAAAATTACAATTCAGAATATAGTCGCAAAAAATTGATGTTTTGAATGATAGTAAAATATTTTTTTATAGATGGTCAAATTGCAAAAGTTTGTCTGATAAAATTATGAAATGACCTACATTATGGATCAGAGGTAGGTTTTTTGGCTGGCTGTTCTTTTAGCTTGTAGATTACAAACAAACGACTCAAACAACAAATTAAACGATGAGCAAGCTATCAAACGTTCTATAGTTGTATATGTTTGTTACCAAGAGAGAAGTGCACATTACAACGATGAACTCATGACCTAGTTTAACTTACAACCTCAAACTTCAAATCAGGTTAGAACAAAACCTTTTCTCAACTTGATGGTGGTTTTCGCCAACATGGATGACATGTCATCTCTTTTGACAAAGCCATATACAACCATGTCATCGACCTCATCCTTGCTCTGCATCTATACTCGAAATAGCCCCACACCCTCCTGCTGACCTGTGTGCTTGAACACCATGCCGGCGGCAGGGGCGGCGCTAGGGGTATTCTTGGGTCTTCATGTGAATACCCATGATTTTTACAAAACAGTGTCGATTTTGGCAAAAGAGTGACAATTTTCGAAAAACAGCAATGATTTTGGCAAAATGAATACACATGAATATCCGGTTGCAAATTCCTGGAGCGGCCACTGGCCGGCAGTCGTGGGAGCCAACTTGAACCTCTCCTTCAGCGTTCGTGATAGCACGAGAGTTGAGACGACAACATCCAAGGCGCAAGCTCGTGGATGGGTAGCTTCCACTCTAGTCATTCACCTTAGCACAAATCTGGGTCATGTGTCGAGTGGCAGGAGGCGGCGACTGTGGACTTGGGATCAGACAAGTCATGGGCCTACTCTAACTCGTATGTATGGAGGTAAGAATACATGGGAGCCAACATGCCTAGAAAGTGTGGCTAGCCGAACGCTGTGTTCTTTTTAGATAGGAGAGATTTATGCCTACTAAGATGGCACATCAACATTGACTAGTGTGCTGGGAGGCAAGGTCATAGCTAAACCACCTTCTAATTGTCAAGAGGGGTAAAGTAGATGGTTTCAATAGTTTAGGGGCGCGTTCTAACTAGTTGTGAAGTTGATGGTTGTAAATTAAATTAGGGCATGAATCCAAAATTGAAATATACACTTCTCTCTATTACCATCACGTTCTAATTACCTATTAAACCTGAATAGATATACAGGCACAAATTTTGTCTGTACATTACACCTCCTAGTTGACGTTGTGATGAAATTCAACCCAAAAGCAGAAGAAATTGGAATGTTTTTCACTGTCTATGCAAGATTTATCTGGTGTGTCAGTCGTCACGAACTTTAAATCAAGGATCAATCCTTTTCTTTTTTGCGTCTAGGTCAAGGATTACTCTTATATCTTCAATGCATCATACTTTAGACCATTAAACCTTCACCATTCTTTCTCTTTCAATTTGATAATGTAATAATAGATATATTCTGCTGCAAGAAAAATTATATTAAAATCTCATTTGTTCTACATACAAATTTCATGCAGTTGTTCCTGGTTTGCCGCTTATTGGAAATCTGCACCAACTGAAGGAAAAGAAACCTCACAAGACCTTCTCAAAATGGTCTGATACTTATGGGCCGATATACACTATTAAGACCGGGTCTTCATCAGTAGTTGTGCTCAACACAAGGGAGGTAGCTAAGGAGGTAATATGACAATAGCCACTTCTCCTGTTTATTAAGGCCACTTCATAATTAAGGAGGTTATATGGCAATAAGGTCAAATGTGGCCTGCTAAGAAGGGAGCACCCATGGTGGGTTTTGGTCCATTGGAAGGGAAAGAGCATGGGCTCTAGGCCAGTTGTTCGCCCTAGGTTTGAAATGATAGGGTATTTCGTCTAGGACCTCCTATTTCACGCACACTGCGTCAATTTAAAGGGGTGCCGAAAATGATCATGGGTCGGCAACCCATTTAGTCAGGCATTCACTCTACAAGAGCGTCGTTCGTCCATAAACCTTTCGTTTTTTTGGTTTATTTTAGTTTTCAATTTTTACGTATAAAATGCCCAAATATTATTGAATTTATTTATTTCAAAAAGCGATCTTTTCCATGTTGAAGATTTCAGATTTTTAAGAATATATCTAAAAGACGCAATTGTTGAAATTCAAATCATTTCCTGAAAACATGATTTTTGGAAATTCCAAACATTTTTTTAAACCAGAAGTTTTTTTTGAATTTTCTGAACTTTTTTGAAGTTGTGAATTTTTTTTTGGGAAGGGGAACAATTTTTGAAATCACATTTTTCTTGAATTTGTGAACAATTTTGAAAATGTGAACATTTTTTAAAAGTAAAAAATATGGAAGCATGAGCAGTATTTGTAATTTCCATACATTTTTAATGCTCTTTTTATAAAAAGCCCAACATTTTTTAAATTCCAAAGAATTTGTACAAAGGGAATTTTTAGAAAGGATAAAAGTAAAAAAGATTTTTTAACAAAATAGGTAAAAGAAACAACCAAAAAAACCGAGTTGAACCAGCAAGTAACCTTCTATAAGTCAAAAACCTAGATCTCTATAATGCAATAAGGGCCGGGCAAGTTTTTTTTTTGACAGAACTTTCCCTCCTTTATTCACTTAGCAAAATAGTGGAATCGGTTACAAGTAACGAAAGCACTATATCCGGTGCCAAATCTATCCAGATAGAAGGAGGAGAAAACTTAACTATTCTAGCGAGTTCATGAGCTACTTTATTATTATCTCTATTACAATGATCATGAATTACATGATTAAAATATGACGACATGAAATAGCAATCATCAATAATTGCACTTCCCACCGAAGAGGGGTTGCCTTCTCTCAAAGCTTCCACAACCTCCATACTATCTGAGTTGTCACGATCTAGCTGCATCCAATGGTTCTGGCGAGATTCAAGCCAAACCTGACCGCTAGTGCCTCTACGGTGAAAGAATGATAGCATATGTCCACTCGTTCATAAGGGCCGGGCCAGTTAGTCCCTCCTACTCCAACTTTGTGCGGTAGGTCAATAGTTTGTCGCATAGAAGAGTGGAAAATAGGATTTTCTATGTCTCGTTGCTTCTTGTCATGAATCGTAGATGAAACGAACTTGCGCTAGCGACATGGGCCTACCAACTACACATGCACGATACTGATTCGGGAGCAGTTTCTTCTATTCCCGTGGGCATTTTTTTCTTCTTTTTCAGTTTTTCTTTCATTGGTTTCTATGACATTTTTTGTATTTTTATTTCCCTTTATTTCTAGATTTTTAAGACTCCCTACAATCTTTAAATTCAGGAGCCTTTTTCTAAATCAATGAAATTAAATACAGAAACAAGTTTTTATAAATTTGAGAGCTTCTTTTAAAATTATCATATATTTTTTAATCTTGTGAATATTTTAAATTATGCACACTTCTTTTTGTGTTTAAAAAAATTGAACACCTTATTTCTAAATTTATGTACTTAAAACATTTGAAATGTATTTTTAGATGCGTGAAAAACTTTCTATTTTCACAAATACTTTCTACATTCATGATTTTTTTCATATCTGAATAATATTGTTTTAAGTAATCAAAACAAATCGACCAGTATTTCTCTTTGTTGAGAAAACAGACTAGAAAATCAAAGAAGAAGATCCCCGCAAAAGAAATCAAAGAAGAAGAAGAATGAAGGAAAGAAAAACACTCGTAGGAGATGAGCTATCTTGGGAACGCTGAAGTGGGGCTAACCCAGGACCGAGCGCTATGTGCTGCCTAGACGATACGACACAAAGAGCATCAAATAGGAGGCTAAATGGCAGTGCATCAATCCCAGAATCGCTGATCCATGAATTGGTCACTCCATTATTCTGCCCACTCCGAGAAGTAGAATTGTTTGGCCCAACCCCACGCGACGTGTTTGGATGGAGGCCACACAGGCAGCTCCTTAGGGCATCTTCACTAGCGCCCCCAGGATGTCCTCCCAGACCATTTTTTAGGCGCCGGCGAGCAAAAAACGCCTCACTCGCCCCCCAGGACCTCACTTTTCGCCGGATTTGACGAAAAACACCGCCGGCGAGCGCAGCCCACACCCAGGCTATCGAGGGGCGTCTGGGAGCAACGGCGCTTTTGCTTAACCAATCCCTTCCCCCCACGTCAGCCACCCACCCCCTTTATCTCTCCTCTCCTCCTCTCTCCCCTCTCTTTTCTTTTTTCTTCTGCCCACCCCCTTCTCTCTCCTCTCAGCTAACCGCGCATCGACGGGGGCGGAGGCCATGGAGACGGCGGGCCAAGGACCAGGAGGGCGGCAGTCGACGGGGGCGGAGGTCGGGTGGGCCTGGTCGTGGGCGTGTTGCGCCGTGGCGGCGGTGGGGCTGGCGGGCGCCGGCGTGCTGGTGTGGTGGGCGGTGGCGTTCCACCCGGCGCGGGAGCAGCTCTGGATGGTGCCCGTCGGGCTCGTCCTCCTCGGCACGCCGCTCGTCGCCTGGCTCTCCCTCTTCGCCTCCGGCGCATGCCGCCGCCTCGGAACCAGCCTCCTCTGCACGCCGAGCTGCACGGGGAGGAGCCGTGGCGGAGCTCGCAGTCGTCGCGCGTGGC